AGCTAGCTCCATGATGCTCGAGTGGAGCTTGTATTTTGTAGAATTTCTAAAAGAATGGTTGGGATTTATTTAGTTATTAGTTCATTAGTTGTTACTTATTTAAGTAGATAAAGGCCAAAAAAGCATACCATTAAGAAGCTTCCCTTGTATTTTTACAACACAGCATTTGTGCTAAAAAGTAAATGGTAGGGTCCCAACAGCATGGAACATGATGACCACTCGGTGTGAGAAATTGAAATAAAATTATAAAAGACTACGACTTATTACAGCTATTAAGTTGAATGAAACATTTTGTTCTTGAGTTGAAATCGGTGTAATTTATTTGATATATATACCAAGCTCGAGCTCGAAAATAGAATTTTTATTATAATTTTTAATTGTTCAACTTGTTAATAATTATAAATGAATTGAGTTTAAACTTATTTATCGACTCGTTCTATTAACGAGTCGAACTTAATTCGATTTGATAAATATAAGAGCTCAAGGATGAGTATTAAGAGCTCGAACTTGGCTCGTTTATACTCCTGTTAATTACGAAAATACAAATAAAATGAGTTCTAATATAGTGTTTTATTTTATATTTTATCTTGATTTCTTGGTTAGGATAATTTGCATTTTGTACATCTTATTTGTCCCAAAATGTTGGAAAAACCAACTTTTGTCCTACTTTCTCTCTTTTTTTTTATCCTACTTTCTCATATTGACTAATCATTTGTTATATTTAATGAATTTATTATATCTAATTTCTAATAAATTTCGCACTCCATCCCAATCTTATATCCTCTTATTAGTCCCCTTTTTTTGGTAGTCACATTGTCATTGTTATATATTTACCAAAATAGAATTATATATTTCTAAAATACTATGATTCTTTCTTCTAGTGGTAATTATATCCATCCCTACTCAATGAATCGGCTTGAATATATATTTTAAAAAATAATGATGAAATTGGACCAATACAAATTATTTTTAATTTCTTTATGAAAACAGAGAATAAAATGGTAAAGTACTATATTTTGTCATGTCATAAAAAATTGAGAACTGATTTTAGACTTGTGAAATTTAAGGCTTCATTTTTACTCCAGAAGAACACGGGAATGATCTCTAAATAGCTAATTCTAATGCGTAAAATCTGAAATCTCAGTATGTGTCAACATATTTTGGCATTAATTTAATTACACTACTACAATGTCTATGTACTACACCTGTATTTGATAAAATAATTAAGTGTACGACAAAAACTAAAAGAAAAAATATTTATATATTTTGTTGAAGTTGGAAAAAATTAATAATGAACAATACATAACAATTTATAATATTTATCTAAGTGAATTATCAATATTTTTTTTTAAATCGTGAAAACTAATATATACATCATTACTTTTATTCATAATATTCTTTTTGTAAAACACGTAAAAGAATAATATGGACAAAGTACAAAATTCGGAAAGTTGATAATAAGCTAAAGAGATTTATATGGAATAGTTTAAATATATTAAATATGTGTATATATGGCAACAAAAATATAAGCTGTTTTATATAAAAAATTAGTAATTTTATTCGAACGATAATACAAAACATAATATTTTGCTACATAAAATTACGATTACTAAGTGTGCGAAATTGCCACTTAATCTCATATCATTCTGAAATTGTATTTAACGAGGATATGCACAAAATGTTGAATCCTGTGGACAGTTGTCTAAGACAAATTGTGCATGCAAATATTTGGTATTTATTTATTTATTTATTATTGATTTTTAAGTTGCTCATACTTGTAAGCCATGTGACGTGCACATGCCCGAGTCCTGCTGCTCTCTATATATAATAAAATAAATGCTGGGATTTTTTTTATTTATCTCAATGGTAAAAAAAATAATTAATACGTTGTGTATATAAATGTGAGATACAAAAATACACACATTTGTACATATAATAGATAAGTTAATTATTTTGATAACTAAATGACATGAATGTGCCTATGAAATATTGCTCTATAGTCTATAGGTAAGGTAAAAAAGTCTTGAAAAGTTTACCAAGTCTTAGCAGTAAAGTACGCGTTGACATGCATACACAAAATGTGTAATAGACTATAATAGGTTCACTTATGGATCGCATTATCAGGAAGATAAATAATCTTTATATAAAAAGATCTTAGTATTGCTTAAGTAAAATAAAAATGGCAAGCTTTACATAATTAGTATATTATTCGAACAATTTTATAAAAATACAACAAAGTCATCAACAAGTTATAATTTAATTCGGAAGAAGGGGTTGTTATTTCAACTAAAACTATGATGAAGAATATATAATCTCATGGCTATCATTATAAAATAAAGTATGGCTTAGCACGAATGATTTTTTTATTATAAAAAAATTATACTTTTATATTTTCTTTATAGAAGTATATTATGTATTAAAAAAAAAAAGTCAGATTATCTAATCTCCTCTTACCATTAAACCGCTTCACAACATAATTTTTATGCTAAGATTTTGTATTATATAAACTTGAAAAGTATCACTCACTATTAAATTTATGGAGTAACTTGAGACTAATACTCAAGACCCAAAGCCATTCCATATAACTTAAATGATAAATTGTGAGACGTACTTATTATTATTTTAATATTAGTACTCACATACAATCCTTTTATTTCAATTAGGTAAAAGAGAAAAAAAAAAAGAGTTATTTATTTCTTCCCTAACCCATTTCACAATCTCTTCTTCTCTCCATCTCCTTAATTATATACATGGGATTCAATAACGAGAAAGTATGATGCAGAACTTGATCATACAACAATGTATAGGAAGGGAAAAGGAAAATTACAATAAAAACTTCGGCTTATAAGTAAATTCTAAAAAATGTATTGTATTTATGACTACCTATAAGGCTATTAACTTATTTCATATAGGTAAATTATTGAAGGATTAAAAAAAATCTCACTTACATGTAACGTTTGGTTGATAGCTATTTTATGAAAAGTAACTTCTAAATGATGCATAATTGGATATAAATTCAACTTAAAAAACAATCATTTTTACTTCAACTACTTTTTTTAACTTAAATTTAACTTAACCTCATTATCATTAATATTATCAATATAATTAAATAATATCAATCAATCGTTCTTACACACAACATCAACCTTAATTCACTATTCATCAACTCACATATTTTTAACTAACCATCACATCACATCTTCTCTCTCCTACTTTTACATCAATTTAATTTTAATCATTTTATTTTAAATATTATTTTATTATACCCACTAACAATTAACCATACCAATTTTTTCAAAGTTAACTTAACCCAAACAAAAAATCCAATCAAAACAATTTTTTTTTTTTATATCCAATCATGCTATAACTTTAAATTCAAACAAAGGTTTTGGGGATGTTGTAACCTTTATGGCCGCGGAGATTTTTTGGAGTGGTTTCACATTTTTTAAAATTTTTAATTTCATATAAATATTTGTTACAAATTTAAATGAAATAGATAAATACTTTCTTCTTAATATTTTGTCATTAAAAAAATAAAATATTCTCAATATTTTAAATAAACTATATAAAGAATTTACATAATTTTGATTCTCTCTCCAAATCACTGCATATAGTCTCTGTCCTCCTCCTCACATTCCACATTTTCCATTCACATAACCTCATATACTATTTTTCCGATTAAGATATCATCGCCAACGATCTAGGAGAAACTCCCCGTTTTCCGAGCTTACATATACTAAATCCATTTTCGCCGCCTCAAACAAAATTACCAAAGAAACTATTGAAGCTTTAGCCCTGCAAACCCTTTAAAGACTACAATTTTTAGTTTTTTATTTTTATTTTTATTTTTTCACTCTCAATTTCTATTTTCTTAAACCATCAAATTTGATTGGATGTCCGCATCTGGGTTTTCTTGAAAATCTTTCTTTTTGCATGTATGTTCTGAAGGGTCTTCATTTTCTGATCTGAATCGAGTTCGAGACTTTAGCCAGAAGTCAACATTTTGTGGATTTGTATCTAATCCTGATCCTTTTTGAGTAAAGATTCGTTTCTGTGGATGCTTTTGGAATAAACATTAACTATGCAGCCTGATCAGAGGAAAAAGGTACAATCTGTCAGTTCTTATAGTAAATTGCGTGTAATAATTTAGTTGTTTTGTTTGTTTATTTTGGTGATTGATGAGCTGGTTAGGTGGTGATTTGTGAATTTGAATTGGAATTAACTTGTTCGGGTTATGTGTGTGCGTGCGTGCGTGTAATTCTTCTATTCAAGCTGGCCCCCTGTAGCACAATTTAGGTTTGAAAGATCTAATTTAGAAAATTGGATAGTTGGGTGTGATTTTAATTCCTGAAAGATCAAATATAGTGATGAGGTTGAGGGTTAGTAGGGATGCCTTTTTTCTTTTCTTTTTCTCCTTGAAATAGTTTTTGCAGTCTTTGACCTTGTCAATTGTCAAGTTCTTGTTTCTATTTTGTTCTTTTTTTAGAATTTTCTCATTTTTGCTAGTAAGTGAAGACCACATTTTGTTGCTAAAACTGTATTTTGGTTGCGCCTATATGTATGTTTCTATTTGTTGACTTCTCCTGTAAAAGCCTTATCCATTCTTTAGTTTTATCCGAATGCTAATTGTGAGCTTCCGGTCTGCAAGTTCATCTGGAGTTGATTGCATGTTGAATGGGTAGCATTTGGTAAAATGAGAA